TCTTTTTTTTTTTTTTTTAAGAGAGGGAGACTCTCTGTTGGCCTAGGCTAGAGTACGTGGCCCAATCATAGCTCACTATAGCTTTAGCCTCCTGGGCTCCAGCAGTCCTCCCACATTAGTTTTCCAAGTACCTGGAACTATAGGCAGTGCCACCACGCTTGGTTAATGTTTGGTTAGTGATTTTTTTTTTTTTTTTTTTTTTTTTTTTTTTTTTTAGATATGGGTCTTGCTGTGTTGCCTAGGCTGGTCTCCAGCTTCTTCATTATTACTCAAAGCATCAGCATATTGGTGCCAGACCTCCCCCTCCTTGTGTCTCAGGGCACCACTTAGCACATTCCAGATGGATGCTTGGCACACAGTGCATTTGTGTTGTAGCTGAGGCGTATAGCTTGGGAAGTCCATTGCTTTTATAGCCCGAGGTAGACAAGCCTGGTCTTTTTCCAGATGGGACTTGTTACCTCATCTGTCAAGGTTCCCAGCTGCATAAATAACCCTGAGAAATGGCTTAGGTAAAATGGCCAGGGCCTTAAAATCTTGCTGTACTGAATAAATGTGTAGGAACCAAATAATCTTCAAAGGAAGATCATTTCTCCTGAAAGTTCCGTAATTGCTTTGTTCTCTAGTGTATCAAAATTTTATTCTGCTGGGCAAAGACTTCTTGAGTAATATCCCCAAAGCAAGGCAGCTAAAGCAGAATCGGACAAATGGGATTACATCAAGCTAAAAAGCTTCTGCACAGTGATGGAAACAATCAACAAAGGGAAAAGACAACTCACAGAATGGGACAGAATATCTGCAAACTACCCATTTGACAAGCAATTAGTAGTAGAATATATAAGGGGCTCCAACAACACAATAGGAAAAATAATCTGATTTAAAAGGGGGCAAAGGATCTGAAGACATCTCAAAACGAAGACGTTCAAATGGTCCACAAGTATACAGAAAGAAGTTCAACACTATTAGTTCAGAGAAGTGCAAATGAAAACTACTTAAACGGCTTTTGTCAAGAAGACAGGAGATAACAAATGCTAGGATACGATGAAAGGGGACCCTCGTATGCTATTGGTGGGTATGTAAATTAGTGTGACAGCTGTGGAGAATTTATGGAGGTTCCTCAAGAAACTGAACATAGAACTACCATACTACCCAGCAGTTCCACTGCTGGATATCTAACCAAAAGAAAGGAATTAAATATAATGAAAGTATGTACACTGTAGGCTGGATGCCTGTAGCTCACTGGTCAGAGTGCCAGTCCCATGCACTGAGACAGGTGGGTTCGAGCCTGGGCTTGCTAAAAAAAACCCCAAATCTGCATTTTGATACTTATTGCAGCACTGTTTGCAATAGCTAGGATTTGGAATCAAGTATCTGTCAGTGGATGAATGGATAAAGAAGTTGTGGTACATATGCATGATGGAATATTGTATTGCCACAAAAAAGGATGAAATTCTGCCGTTTGCAAAAACATGGATGGAGGTGGAGAGCATTATGTTAGGTGAAGTAAGCCAAGCCCAGAAAGAATAATCTTGTATATTCTTACTTTTATGCGGGAGCTCCATACTAAAAACAGTTGATCTCATTGAGACAGAGGGTAGAATGACAATTACCAGCAGATAGGAAGGGCAGTGGGGAGAGGCGATGAAGTGAGGGTGGATATATGGGTACAAAATATAGTTAGAATGAACAGTACTTGATAGCATAACAAAGTGACTTAATCAGTAAGTTAGGGTACATTTTATTTTATTTTTTTCTCTGAAACAGTTTTTACTAACAGCAAAGCAGAATTGCAACACAATATAAATATATGTAAATAGGGTCACAAAAGGGACATAGAATGTTTGCAGTGTGACTACAGCTAGTGGTTCATTAGCTCTTACATTAATACATAAGGTAATTCCATGATTAAATGTTGCCCAAATCTAATAACCATAAACTATCTTAGTGGAGTTATTTTCCTGTTACAACATTTTAGCATTATTTCTGATATTGATTCCCTTACCAAATGGAATCTACAAACTAAACATTTAAGTATGACTAAAGGATAACTGAAACTCTGCAAACAAAGTAGTGGATGTATGTAAATAGGGTCACCAGGGACACAGAATGTTTGCAGTGTGACTGCAGCCAGTCATTCATTAACTCTTACATTAATACATAAGGTAATTCCATGATTAAAAGTAGCCCAGATCTAATAACCATAAGCTATATTAGTGGGGCTCTTTTCCTGTCGTGACATTTCAGCATTATTTCTGATAATGATTCCCTTACCAAATGGAATCTACAAACCGAACGTTTCCGTATGATAAAGGATAACGAAACTCTGCAAATGAAGTAGTGGAGTTGACAGAAAATTCTGAGAGAACAAGTAAGGTATACTTTAAAATAACTAAAATAGAACTACGGAATGTTCTAACACAAATGTTAAAAGCCTGAGGTGATAGATACCCCAGTTACCCTAGTTCGAGTTACTCACATTGTATGTCTGTATCAAAACATCCCAAGTCTTATAAAGATACACAACTGTTACGTACCCATAATTAAAAATAAAAAAGAGTTTATTCTGTTAAATAAATTTGTCAGTTTTTGAGGTATAGAAGTAATGAGGATTTTCTTCCTGAAGAAAGCAATTTTACACAGAGAATGTGTGAACGTGAACTGTAAAGGTCATTTCAGAAGATTTTGATTTTTTTTTTTTTTTTTTTTGAGACAGAGTTTCACTGTG